GAGGTGACATGAAGCTTTTAAAAGAAAAAAAAACCTATCAGAGGACATAGAGATCCAAAACAATCACTAAATAGTAAGATAAGTGTTACACAACAACACAATGTTCAACAGAATGAACATTCCCCCTGGAGTGTCTGCGGAGGCATCACAGATGAGGTGACATTTAAACTGGGCTGGAGGTCATTCCAGGTTGAGAGCAGCATGAGAGAGCATAAACACATGAAGGTGCAGCAAGTATCTGGAAGTCCCTGAGGCTGTTCAAACACATAGTGTCTGAACACAGTCTCATCCAAACAACTTTATGCCAGTGATCATGGAACAGCTCAATTTTCTAGAGGTATTTCAAGAGCAACCATGAGAGGGTGAAGAGGAGGCCAAGAAACAGGGCACTTCCCCTCCATCAACAGTTTCAAAAAGCAGTTGTTTTACCTATTTGTATTTAAGGACTTTACGCTAAGATTTCGTTTGAAAACAGGTGTTTTTTTAACCACAGCTTCTCAATTGTAGTCAGGCAGAAAGACGACTTGAACAACACTCTCAACCAATTTGGTCTAACATGCATTTATAGGCCACACCACACTACGACAGCACAATACAGATTCTTTTTAAGTGACCATGTTACTGTTTACCAAGACAGACCACATTCTGGGTCATGAAACAGTCTCAATACACTTAAAAGGTTTCAGAGTATTCACTGCAGTAAAAAAAAAGCTACCTGAAAAAATTTCAAATATTTGAAATCTAAATAACTGATTAACCAAAGGAAAATTAGAAAGTGCTCTGAACTAACTGAAATGAAACACAACATAACAGAGGTTGTGGGATACTGCTAAGCAATATTCAGAGGAAAATGCATAGTGTTAAATGCCTATATTACAAAAATAATGGTCTCAAATCAACAACCTCAGCTTCTACTAGAAGAAATTAGACAAAGATCAAATTAAACTAGAGTAAGCAGAAGACAGTAAATAATAAGGACCAAAATGGAAATCAATGAAATAGAAAACAATAAAACAGAGAATCAGACCAAAGGCTGATTCTTTGTGATGATCAATAAATTATAAGGACCTCCCCAGTGGCGCAGTGGTTGAGCGCTGGGTTGCGAAGCTGCCCACGGCCTCCGCGGTGCCGGTTCAATCCCCAGCTGCTACCCGGCCACCAGAAGAGGGTCCCACATGGCGCACAGACCTCTCCTGCCGCCCGCTGCTCCCCTCAGCGGTGTACTTCGGTCCTTCTGCCTGCTCTGCTCCCTGCTCTGACTCTGGTGAATTCTCTCACCCTCCAGCGCTTCTGACTGTACCCAGTGCATGTATAAAAACAAAAACAAACAAACAAATAAATAAATAAAACATGCCTCTATAAAAAATAAATAAATAAAATAAAATAAATTATAAAACTTCTAGTCGGCCTGACCAAGGGAAAAAGACAGGAGACACCAATTACTAATATCAGGAATGAAAGACCACTATGTCATCATAAATCTTAAAGGACAATAATGTAATACTATGAACAACTTTATGCCAATAAATTTAACAGCTTAAATGAAATGGATAAATCCCTGGAGTACACCAACTACCAAAGTAACATGAATAGCCAAGTATTTACTAAAGGAATTGAATTTATGGTCTTTCCCACAATATACTAAAACAACCAAATGGTGACTTTCACAGTAGAGAGTTGTATCTCAATACAACTGTTATCTTCCAAGTTCAGATGAATTCCGCCAAGACTTAAGAAAGAAATAATATCAATTCTACACAAACTCTTCTTGATAAGTGAAGAGGGAAAGCTTTCCAATCTGTGAAGATAGAGTAATTACCTTGGTACCAAAAGGACTGTATTTCATGAACACAGATAAAATTTCTAAACAAAATTCTAACAACTTGAAAAATTACTCAACACAGTTCACCATATTTTTTTTTTTAACTATTTTTTTTTAAAGATTTATTTATTTATTTATACAAGCACTGGGTATAGTCAGAAGCGCAGGAGGGTGAGAGAATTCACCAGAGCCAGAGCGGGGGGCAGAGCAGGCAGAAGGACTGAAGTACACTGCTGAGGGGAGCAGCAGGTGGCAGGAGAGGTCTGCGCGCCATGCGGGACCCTCCTCCGGTGGCCGGGGAGCAGCCAGGGATCAAACAGGTGCCGCAGAGGCTTCAGGCAAGCTTCGCAACCCAGCGCTCAACCGCTGCGCCACTGGGGAGGCCCACACCATATTTTTAAATTAGAAAGAAAAAACACATGATCATCTGAATAGATACTTTTGTTAGCAAAAGCATGATAAAATCCAAAATCCATTCCTGATACAAACTCTAGGCACACTAGGAACAGAAGGGAACCTTCTCAATCTGCAGCTACATCATACTTAATGATGGAAGCAAGGCTCTGCCTACAGTCAAGAACAAGACAAGGATGTCCCTTCTCACCACTTCTAGTCAACATCATACTGCAGGCTCTGGCAAGAGAAAATATGCAAGAAAAATAAATAAAAGCAATTCAGATTGAAAATGAAGTAAATCCATAAATGACATAATCATTTATGTACACAATCTATGTAAACAGAAACTATAAAAAAAGGTACTATGACTTCAGTGCTTCAGCATAGCTGCAGGATATAAGTTATACAAAATCAACTGCATTTTTATATACTAGTACTAAAGAGACATTGAAATTTTCTTAAAAAACCATTCATAGTATCATCCAAAAATACAAAATACTCAGGACCAAACCTGACAAAAGATATGAAAACCTATACACTAAAAACTATACAATTTTGCTGACAGAAACTAGAGGAGACCTAAATAAATGGGGAGCTATAATTTGTTCATGGATCAAAAGACACGTCATTAATTTGTCAGTTCTTCCACTAAAAGATGTATAAATTCAACTAAATTCCAGTCTAAATTCTAGCAAGTTTTTGGTAGAAATTAACAAGCTGATTCTAAAATTACTTTTTTAATACTTTTTTTATGATTTTGTTTATTTATACAAGAACTGGGGTACAGGCCAGAGGCATGGAAGGGCGAGAGAATTCACCAGAGATAGAGCGGGGAGCAGAACAGGCAGACAAGCGAAAATACTGCTGAGGGGAGCAGCGGGAGAGACAGGAGAGGTCCACCACACCATGTGGGTATCTCCCTGGCTGGCAGGGACTCGACCCCGTGCTGCAGAAGCTGCAGACAGCTTCACAGCACTGCATTCAACGCACTGTGCCACCGGAGAGGCCCTGATTCTAAAATTAATATGGAAATACAAAGGATATATTTCCTTTGTAAGACAACCAAAACAACCTTGAGAAAGAATGTAGTTGGGGGATTAATGCCACCTAATTTCAAGATTATAAAGTTATCATAATCAAAACAATGTATAGCCAGATGACAGCTACTTCCCCAATGCATAATGAAAACTTTCCAGTAGAAAAATAGAATTAAGCAAAATTAAATTCTAATCACCTCTTATAATCTCCTCTCCCTAATCTCCTGCCTGTGATTAACTTTTTAAAATTTCTTTTCTTATATCATTAATTTTTAGACAGTATTTGATTTCCCCCCTCAGGTGTAGTTCCTATAGTCACAACATGAATGATTCTTAAAATAATAATGATGAATGAAAGAGCAAGACCTCTCCAAAATATAATATAATCACATTTATATAAAACTCAAGAAAATGCGAAGTACTCTGAAGTGATAGAAAGCCAAGCCAAAGATGCCCAGGAAGGGTAGAATCAGTGAGGGGTAAGAGGTCGGGGTTACAAAAAGAATAAAGAAACTTTTGGGGGTGATAGAGAAGTTCTCTCCCTTGAATATGGCAATGGTATCATGCAGTTTTTTATGTAAATTACACCTGAAAATATAGATAGGTGTTGGTGTCAATTATACCTCAACGATGCTGGGTTTTTTTTTTTTTTATTATTATTTTTTTTTAATGGTAAGTTTTTTTGTTTTTTGTTTTTTTTTTAAGATTTATTTATTGGGCCTCCCCGGTGGCGCAGCGGTTGAGCGCTGCGTTGAGAAGCTTGCCCGCAGCCTCTGCAGCGCCAGTTCAATCCCCGGCTGCTCCCCGGCCACTGGAGGAGGGTCCCACAAGGCACGCAGACCTCTCCTGCCACCCGCTGCTCCCCTCAGCAGTGTACTTTGGTCCTTCTGCCTGCTCTGCTCCCTGCTCTGGCTCTGGTGAATTCTCTCACCCTCCCGCTCTTCTGACTGTACCCAGTGCTTGTATAAACAAACAAACAAATAAATAAATAAATAGAAGATTTATTTATTTATTTATTTATTTATTTACAAGCACTGGGTACAGTCAGAAGCGCGGGAGGGTGAGAGAACTCACCAGAGCCAGAGCAGGGAGCAGAGCAGGCAGAAGGACCGAAGTACACTGCTGAGGGGAGCAGCGGGCAGCAGGAGAGGTCTGCCGTGCCATGTGGGACCCTCACTGGTGACCCGGGATCGAACCAGCGCTGCAGAGGCTGCGGGCAGCTTCGCAGCCCAGCGCTCAACCGCTGTGCCACCGGGGAAGCCCAACGATGCTGTTTTAAACAAATGGTTGACAATGACGACTATCCATAGGCAACTTTCAAGACAGAAGAATACAAGTAAATCTCTTGCAGGAAAAAACATCTTAGGTGACAATATGGAGGAAAGAAGGGAGATGAAAGAGACTAAAACAAGAATTTTACACAGGAATTACTGCAAAAGGCTAAGAAGCACAATGAGAAATCATGTAAATCAAATCTCTCGTCAGCTCTTCTCTTACCTGCAAAATAAGCTACTCCCTATGTCACAGAGTTATTATGAAGAGCAAATGGAATAATATGTATGAAAATACTTTCACACTATAGAATAAAATGGAGATTTTTGGCACTTAAAGTTCTTGTGACTTCAATCCCTATGCCATATACAGGAGTTATAACAGACACTAAAGTCTTTCCCCAGAGACTTAAGAATTGAACCTTTTTAAAAATCCATTCACCAAGCCTTTTCAATTTCCCTTCACTCCCATACCTCATCCATTGACATATCCCATACTCTGCAAATTTCATTCTCCATTTCTTCGTCAAGTTCCATCTGTTGCTCCTCATCATCTGAGCTGGATTTGGTATTTTCAGGGGTAACAAGCTTCAGAAGCAAAAAGAAAGAAAAGAGATGATGAATGAAAGTTGTTCACAATAGTCCCCAAGGAAAATGATCCCATAATCGCATAGAAGTCACAAAGATGCTACCTCAAAGTATCTTCTCTTGCAAATACCTTGTGGGTTTTGTTTGTTTTTTTAAGTAGTACCTTGGGTAAGTCTATGCATTCAATATTCATGGAGAAAATATTGTTGCTAGGCATTTGGGGTAGAAATACAATGAGTAAGGTATGATCTCCGGATTTCAAATAGTTCAGTATTTAGTAGGGAAAACACCTGCAAACTGATAATCACAATAGAAAAGGCCAAGTGATCAAACTGAACTGTGGAAAGAGTTGTAAGAGGAAAGTACATAAATTTAGAGTTGATAAGACCTAGCACGTTTGGGGAGGGGTGAGCAATTTAGTGCGCCATGGGCAGATAAAGCTGTGAATGGATGCAGAGAGCACTGGACTCCAAGCTAAGAAATGCGCTTTATTTTTTCCGGTAGGCAATGAGAACTACAAGGAGTTCCCATGAACCGGTTTTTGTGTCTTTTGGGTTTTTTCCTTTTCTTTACAAGGACAATTGCGCTGGCAGTTGTGTAGACAAAGGACTGGAGAGGAGAAAATTTTTAAATGTGAAAATCACTTAAGGAAACATAGTGGGGAGAGAATAAAGTTCGCATTTATTGAGAGCCTCCGTTGTGCGAAACACCACGTTAAGCACCCCCCGACCTTTATCATCTTATTTAACCCACACAATAATCCTACACACAATAATATGACCTTCCAGTTGATAAAAATTTAAAAAGTCAAGGCTCTGGGCGGTTAGGTAATTTGCCCACAGTCACACAGCCAGTAGGAGATGAAGCCCCCGATTTTGATATTAGAGCCCTATGACTCCCAATTCACCAGTTATTCTACTACAACAAAAACTCACGAAATAGATAAGCTATGACTTTGGGGACTACAGTGGGAAGAGGAAAAGCAAAAATCCGAGCAATGTATTTGCATGATCAGCGTCTTTGGAAATTTTGCGAAAAGGAAAAATCTTTTAACAGCCAGCATTCCAGCACCCCCGGCACTGTACTGCCCTTTCTGCTGAGGCACTGGGAGGGGCTCCCCTCAGTTTGGGGGTCCGCGGAGGAGGGCAGACGCAGGCATGAGACCCCTCCATGCGGGCCTAGAACATAAGAGTCGTGGGGCTGGAGGCTCCCGGGGCAGCGGGGGGCGGGCGGAGGCGGCGAGGCCGGGGATCCGGGGGAAACCCACGTGGGGCGCGAGTTTCCGCACCTGGATGAGCCCGCTGAGGACGCCGAAGAGCCAGTGCTTGCTGTAGACCGTGCTCCCTATGCAATCTCCCGTGGCCTCGTCCTCCTCCCGACTGGGCGGCGGCGGCGACGGGTTACGGTCCATGGCTCGGCCGCCACTGGCGCGCAGCAGCCGCGCAGGAGCCACGCAGGAGCCGCGCCGGAAGCCGCCGGAGGAGGCGAGAGGCCTCCTGGCGGCAGAGTGTCCGGCACGACTCCCGCCACAGCGCCCCCTGCTGCCCAGTGTCGTGCCGGCCCGAGTGCCCGCCCACTATGCCCATCGGGCTTGGGAACCCGTTCCACCCTACCCAGGACCTGGGCACCGTCATGGTCATAATTATTTGCTGCCCTCCAGAAGCTCTTCGCCAGATTTGAAGGGAAGGGAATGAGGAGGAACATGTTGCCGAATGGCGTCTGTGGTACAGACCTGAATCTCCAGTCTGTGGGACTTCTGATCTCTAGGCACTGTGGCTCTTTTTTGTTTTTTGTTTTTTTTTAGTATATGTGCTGCCGAAGCAAGCACTGTTTTTTGGTTTTTTTTTTTTAAAGATTTATTTATTTATGCGTACAAGAGCTGGGGTACAGGCCAGAGATGCAGGGGGGTGAGAGGATTCACCAGAGACAGAGTGGGGAACAGAACAAGCCAACTGATGAAATACACTGCTGAGGGGAGCAGCGGGCGAGACAGGAGAGGTCTGCCGCGCCATGTGGGTAGCTCCCTGGCCAGCAGGGATGGAACTCGTGCTGCAGAAACTGTGGATTGCTTCATAGTGCTGTGATGCCACTAGGGAGGACCGCGTGGCTGTTCTTAAAGATAGCAGTAGGTGCTCATTCTTCTCCTAGGTGTAGATGGAATCCTGGGAAAGACAAAGGTAACAATGTCAGTATTATAACTCCTTGTATTTTCAGTTCCTGCTTCTTTTCCTTTATCCCATGGTCATTACTTATCCCCAAAACGCCTGTGACCATCCAGTGCCACCCACACAAGGGGAAATGTGATGGTGAAATGTTTCAGTGGACAAAGGCAGAGGCATTAACTGCTTGCAATTGAAATATTTACTTTGGCAGATTTTACAAAGACACTTGACTATGTGAACACCTTTCTAGAGTCTCCCCCAGGGCCTTGGAATGATCCCATAGAAGAGCCCTTGAAGCTCAAGTTTCATCTACTTCATGGTAAATCTGACTTTGCCAACATTGTGCAGGGCGGTTCTGTTTGCAGCACTGTCCCATAAATTGTAAGCTGAATCTCTGGCCCATCTGCTAAATGGCCCCCAATCATTGTGCCAACAAAAATGTCCTCAGAAATATGAAAGCTGGGGTGAAGGTTAGGGGTGGGTGTTCAATGGCATCCCTGTTGGTAACTAGGGTCTAGACCTCTGTGTATCCCAGACTGACAAGTTTGGGAAGGAACTATGTAAAAGCCATTCTCTAAGGAAATAGCTATACACCTTTCTGCAATCCCTCTGACACAGAATGTAATCTCCACACCATTGTATGTACTTATCAATTGATGAAAATTTCAGGGGAGGGGTCAACTGTATATGGTCAATGATAAGAGTTGGACTTTAGTTGTGAACTTCACACAGTACAAAATCTTTAATTGCTTAGACCTGAAACTTGGAGCATTTAACAAATCTTTAAAATCTTGCAACAAAGAGATTCGCCACCACTTTGTTTATTTAAAAGACCACACATTATTGTGACTCTTCTCTAACCTTATATATACTTAAGTTATGTAATATAACATTATATTTAATATGAACAGGCACCATCACAAACATTCATAACGTCACAGTTCATATTCTCCACCACCCCAGGAGGAGACTAAGACCAAATGAGTAAAGCATTTTGCCCGAAATCACTAAGTTAACAGAAAGGACGTTGTCTATTAACATTTTGATTTTTTCTTTGTCTTTTTTTCTTTTGTTTAGTGTGATTTAATGTCCATTGTGAAAATATTATTCTTTTTTTTTTAACTAATTTTTATTTATTTATTTATTTATTTATTTTTGTGGGACCCTCGCCGGTGGCTGGGGATCGAACTGGTGCTCCAGAGGCTGCGGGCAGCCTCGCAACCCAGTGCTCAACCACTGCGCCTCCAGGGGAGGCCCGAAAATATTATTCTTATAAGAACATTCAAAGCTAATCATAATCAATCGTGGATGAAATAAAATGAAAATGTCCAGTTTCTAGATCATTTCTAAAACTTCCTTCTCATCAACTTTTTCCAAATATTAAAACTAGCTTGACTTCATTTTATCACCTATGTCTTTATCACCTATCACCTATCACCCTCAAATCTCACTTTGATGACACCGTAAGGACTGGCAAATCAGATAGAGGCGGCAGCTCCAGATACTTTTGAAGTAACAGAACCATTAACAACTGAGCTACCCTTCACGATTGGATAGAGTATCTCCAAGATTCCAAGATTTTCTGGGATTGTGTAACTGACATAACCTCATACTGCATTTTTAAACATTATTTTCAATTATTTATTTTCTTACAGCTTTGTTGATTTTTAGATAGTATTTTATTTCTCCCCTCAGGTGTAGCTCCACCACCACAGCACCCATTATCCAGCACTATAGTCCCTTATGCTCTTCCCTCCTGTTTTGATCCCTCCTTCCCCTTCCCCTGCTGTATGCCTCAGATCTGTTGTCAATATGCAAGTTTGTCCTTTTCCTGTCCCTTTGTTTGGTTTCTCTAGATTCCACATATAAGTGAAACCATCAATATTTCCCTTTCTCCTTCTGGCTCATTTCACTTAGAATAATCCCTTCCAGATCCATCCATGTTGCTGCAAATGGCATGAGTTCATTTTACTTGATTGCACTTCAGACTGTACTTTGACCCCCCAATCAGATGGTCAATCAATGGTGATTCGGGTGTTTTTGTACTTTCCTTTGGGTTTTTTAGCATCAATGTTTGCTATCCTCATTGAAAGGGTTGGGGAGTATTTTCTACTCCCCTACTGGAATTGTTTGTACAAAATTGGAATCATTTGCTATTTTTTAAAAAGATTTATTTATGCATGCATGCATGCAAGAGCTGTGGTATAGGCCAGAGGTGCAGAGTGTGAAAGGATTCACAGAGACAGAGTGGGGAACAGAATAGGCAGACTGACTGAAACACACTGCTGAAGGGAGCAGCAGGAGAGACAGGAGCCATGTTGGTTTATCCCTGGCTGGCCGGTGATGGAACTCGTGTTGCAGAGGCTGTGGATTGCTTCATAGTGTGGTGCTTAACCCCTTGTGCAAGCAGGGAGGCCCCTCATTTGCTATTTTGAAGGAGTAATTTGTCTAAAAAACCATCTGAGTCTGCTATTTTACAATAATTATAGCATAATCCTATTTTTCACTTCTTGTGTCAGTTTTTGTAAGTTGCACTTTTCTAAAAATTTACTGATTTTGGGGGGTCCATTTAAAGCTTTATTGTTGAAGTTTTTCTCTTATTATCTTTTCCATGTTATGGAACATCAAATTATGGGTTGATCACTGGTTCATGTAATGGTCTATGTATATGGACCATACTATAGAGAAATCGTTTTATGCCAAACTACTACCATTGTTTATTAGTGCCTAATCTCCCTCTTAAAAATAAAAGCTATGATGTTTATCCATCAACCCATGGTATTAAACAGGCTCAAGTTCTCGGGAAGAATGTCATATGCTATTTCCAGAGGCCAAGACAGATTGGATTTCACATTTATTCAGTATTTATTAAACACTTTCATGTGCTCTTTATCATCAAGTACTAAGATTACAGAATTCAGAAATCCTAGCTCAGCAACTGTCCTCAGGGGTGTTCAGAGACTTGTATCCTGAGAGCAGAGTGAAGAGGAAGCTCAGTACTTGTCAGGCAGGCCTGCAGGTCTGAAATAATTGGGGTCTTTACCACTCCGGCCCCATTCATTGGCAAACTGGTCGGCCTTTGAGTCCTCCACTCCGTGGCCACTGTTTCCGTATCTAAACAAGTCGGTGACTCTTTGAGAAGCTTCTCTGGCATCACTGGAACCGAGGGAAGCAGGTAGGAGATTAACCAGGGGCTGATGAGCAACAGGTTCACCCTCCTAGTTCTCTCCCCTTTTGGAAGAATTAATGACTCTTAGAGGAGCCAAGGAAAAGGGCAGTTAGACACGGACCCTGCCCTGCAAACTGTCCAGCTCGCTTAGGCTGACCCCACTCGGCTTACACTAGGTGAACAGCACCCCTAGCGGGCGATATGGGAATCCTACTGGTAAGGTTAATGCCATTAACCTTACTCTGGATCTATCAATCACTCAGATCCCACACTGGCAAGAATAGGATGGCCGAGAGGGGAGAGGCCGCATTCTCCACTGGAAACTTCTTTAAGAATTGGCCCCTCCTGGTTGTGCGAGGCAGCAAGCTGTGCTCACCCATCCCTGCTCCCAAGACCCCCTTTTGTTTACCTGATCACTTTAGAGGCCCACACTCCGCCAGGACCTCTTTGTGCAGCCTCATAGTTGCCTCTGGCATGGAAGTATTTGTCAGAGTTTTTGAAATTGGCTTCTCTCATGTCAGAGTAGGCTCTCCACATGTCTCTAGTCCCTGAAAGGGAAAGAAATGATGAAATAAATGTGATGATCAACATCTGGGCAAAACAGAGGGAAAAAAAATTTCCTCCCACTCAAACTTATCTTTGTTTTATATATTCATTATTTCTGGCATTTGGAAATATGGCTTCACTGAGAGTTATGACACTCTTATTACCTCTGAGTTACTGATTCGAACAGGTCATTGGAGTCCAGGCCTGTATGAGTATTTCCAAAGTGCCTGGCTTATTTTGCTGTCTAGGGCCAGTAAACTTAGAGGTACTGGTTCTCATCCTTTCCTGTGGGCAAACAATCAACTGGAGTGTTTGGCAAAGGCCAAATGTAAATTAGCCCATTTAGCTTAGTAATGGAGATTGTGATTCAGCAGAGGGACGGTGTTCATACACTAGGGTGTGTCATACACTAGGGTGTGTCAACTGCTTTTCACAAAGAGCTCCAGACCCTAGGGGATTCTCATACACGTGGTTCTAGAACAACCCTTTGAAAAACATTGACCTCAGAGATAAAGATATTTTTAACTGGGTCTGTGAGAATTTAATAAGTTAACAGCTTATTCTTAAAACAATTGTTCAGAAATAATTATTATAGAAAAACAATAACACAATTTTGTGAAATAAATTTTTGCCACTTTATTATGGCCAATGAGCTAAATATCTCTTGCTATTGGATTCCTGGCCACGTCTCAGCCCCTGTGGAACTAGCATGGAAGTAATTCATTGTGCCGCTTACTGGGGTGAGAGTTGCTTTTTAGAATTGCCTTCCTATGGCACCACATCCCAATTGTGTACTATTTGCCATTTGCTCATATAAAGAGCAGGATATTATGTTCACAAGTCCCTCTGTGTGTGTGTGCTCTTATCGGGGAGGCAGTGCAATACCATGATTAATAGCAAGGTTTGAGGAGCTTGATAGCCTGATTAAATCCTGCTGTTTGGAGAATTTGTTAGGTCTCTTAATCTCTTAGTGCTTCCTTTTCTCTGTGAAGGGATAGTAGCACATTGAGGGATTAAATGATTAAAACACAAGGATGAAAACAAGTTCATTTGTAAATGTAAAACTCTTAAGAACAGTGCCCACAACGTATTAAAGACTATTTTGATTGTAATTACTGAGTGGCTGGGGAGTGAGACTGTAACAGGGTGGTCCCCAGGAAAGGGGGAAGCTCCAGGTTTTCTGCCCCACCAAGGGAGGGTGGAGCTGAGCAGAGAGAGAGAAGCAGCTGGAGAGGAGACTGAGGAAGGAAGGAAGCAGGATGCAGAGCCCGAAGGAGACCTGGAGGAGGCACATGAAGCCGAGAGACTCGTGAAGAAACTGCGCTTGCCTTTTGGTCGTGGACTGGGTGACACAGATGTGGGTGAGAGACCAGTGGGGAGGTGACAATGGCAGTTTTTGTCTTGATTTTGATTTTGCTCTTTTCCTTCCAGACTCATCTGGTTGTTTCTGATCCTTTTCTGTGGGTTCCCACTCGAAGGTGCCTTAGACTTGTGATAGGCTTTGAGGCCTTGCTCTGGGCCAATCCTGCTTGGGTGGACTTTTACCTACGAGGGGATGGGTACCTTTGGGTGCTTGATTTAGAAGCTATATTCTTTGCCTATTGTTTAATAATTGTATTAAAGTTTACTAATTGTATTAAAGTTCCTTTTCATTAAAGTCTCATATGTTTTGTGTTGATGCGGTGGATGGCAGAATCCATTTAGAGCAGGCAGGTTTGCGGGGTCTGGGGAGCCCCTCTGCCTGCCCTGTAACAAGAACACACCCCACACCTTTGATAGACCCATGTCATGGCTACTTGAGACACTGACATGAACTGCCCCGTATCACCCACTAGGTGCCAGTAAAGCCCCACTTGTGATTAAACACCATGCACCCCTGAACTTATCTCTTGTCCTTATTCTGCTAAGCAGTTGGGACCCAAACCCTAGGCTGCCTCAGGCTTGGGGGTCCCCACAGAAGAATACAAAACTGGCCAGAAAAATCTGAGACAATGCTACCAGGAAATCCCTACTCCTTTTCTACCAACGAGGGCCTGGCCCTATTGGGACATGGCCTCTACTCAGGTGAATTCTGAGGGCAGCCTGATGCAGCCTCCAGTTCCCATCATCCTGTCCCCATTGTTCTTACCTTGACCAGCTTCCCTGAGGAAATTGAACCATCTTTGGCTGTTGACAGTCAGGATCAGGGAGCAGAAAATGATGGCGGTGACAAGCTTCATCCTGCTGCAGAGTAAACTAAACACAACCAAGGGTGACACAATTGGGATTTTTTGTTGGTGCTGCTTCAGTGTTTATTTGTTTGGTAATGTTGACCCCCCTTGCATTCCAAATATAAAACTCATCCAATTTGATAGATAGATAGATATCAATAGATAGATAGATCTATAGATAAGTAGGTGTGGTAGATACATTGTATTTCAGTGGGCCTAATTCTCCTTTTCTCTTTGTCTCATTGGCATCCCAGTGATTTATTACATGAAAGATCGCAATGGATTTTTATTAGAAACCATCTTTCCATTTTCACTATCCCCAATCAATTCAGAAATCCAACTGTTCAGGAAGACTCCAAAGAAGTATTTTGAAGATTTTGTGACTACTAAGACTTTCTGTAATATCAGCTGAGTTAAATGCTCCACAAATATTTGCATGATGCCCGTACTACCATTACTGAGTTCACAGAGGAGATATAAAAACAAAATCCATACACTTGAAGTAGTCACACCTGATGAATTTGAAATGTCAGAATATCAGACACAGAAAGGATGCAGGTGTGAGGATATAGCACAAGAATGCTGGTGGGGAAAGAATTACCAAAGAATAAACCTGTTAGAAAGTGCTAGCATCTTACCGTGGACTGTTCTTTCCTGCTGAGGCTCCTGGTAAAGCTGCCTGTGCTGTCAGTCTCGGGATGTGGCTGGTGCTATATATACCGACACTTTGCACGTGGAACAAAAGGGAAGAGAAGTTGGAAGCTAAACAATGAGGTTAGGGGAAACTTCTTTGGCCAGAACACAGCATTCAGAACATCAGGGCTCTTGTTTACACACATCTAATTTTCCCAGACTGTGCAATATGGCAGGTTTAAGGGGTTTTTCTGGCAATTTCCAGTCTCCCTACAGGAAGAGAAAGTTGCTTTTCCCCCCATGCAGTAATGTACAAACATTTGCTGTGAAGAGAAATCAATATTAGGGGAAAAAAACCTGATTAAAGAATGTAAGAATATAGGGCAAATAGAACAGCAAAATGGGCTCTACTGCAAGGGACAATTCAGGATGAAGCTGGAACCTGAGGGCACAGGAATAGGAAGGAAGGAACAGACAACCCAGGGAAGCAAAATTTTTAGTATCCAATGGCAGGCTCAAATGATCATGATCAGTTGTTATTGAAGATCTTAATAGCAGGTTATATTTGGAGGACTCTGTAGCCCTGGAATGTTGAACAATAAAGTAGAAATTTGTGACCATGCTGTGCAGAATGGTGTCGTGACACACCTAAAGAGGAGCAATAAATGGCCCATTGACTGCTACATTATCGGTTTGAAAGATTTGGGAAGGATGCAGAGAAAACTGGTGTGCAGGACAAGAATGCTGATGGGTGTGAGGATAAGGAACAGCTGTTTTGATCAGAAAAGGAGAACTCTGGGTCTCCCTGGTGGCACTGGGTTTGAAGTTCAGAGCTATCAAGCTATCACCAGCCACTGCTGCACTTGAGTTTGATTCCAGTCCAGGGAGGAACCCACATGGCATAGCAGACCTCTCCTGTCTCACCCACTGCTCCCCTCAGCAGTGTATTTCAATAGATCTACCTGTTCTGCTCCCTGCTCTCTCTGGTGAATCCTCTCACCCCCTGCACCTCTGGCCTGTACCCCAGTTCTTGTATGCATAAATAAATAAAAATAAATCTTTAAAACAAAAAGAAAAGGAGGACTCGCTCTTACCAAGTGATGTCGCAGGATTGTATCAGGAAGAAATTGCATGCAGGTGCTACCAGGGAGATAGAGGCCATGATTCACTCTCCTGCCACTCATCCAGAAGGGAAATTTTTAAGTTTGTTGGATTTCCCTAGAGACATGTGTATATAACATGGCAGAGATGATGGGAGCTCCAGAGGACATCAGTACTGGTCCTATTGACCATGGGACCCTGGGCTTGAAGCCCAAGGACAGCAGCAGGGCAAGCCTAGGGAGACCAGCTCAAGATTTTCCTCAGGGCAGAAATTGTGGATCCGTGACCTCAACTTGTTACAGGTCTTTTACTTTAAGCCATTCACTGCTGGAACTCACGCCTGACTTTCTTTCTTTTTTAAATATTTATTTATTTATTTATTTATTTATTTATTTATTTATTTATTTATTTATTTATTTATACAAGCACTGGGTAGAGTCAGAAGCGCGGGAGGGTGAGAGAATTCACCAGAGTCAGAGTGGGGAGCAGAGCAGGCAGAGGGACAGAAGTCCGAAGTACACTGCTGAGGGGACCCTCCTCTGGTGGCCCGGGAGCGGGCAGCTTCGCAACCCAGCGCTCAACCGCTGCGCCACCGGGGAGGCCCTCACGCCTGACTTTCTCAGTTCCTTTATGCCATCCTCTTCTCTAACAGAAATATTAGAGAGAAAGCAAGTACAATTTCTAGAAACCAAGAGGAACTCCTCACAGAGACTTTGATAGCATTGTAAATCTACTTCCTTTGTACTTAGTGTATTCTGTCTTCTTGGAAGGCACACTCCATTCCATGCAGTCAAATGCTTAGAACAATAAACAATAGTGGGAGTAAAACTATCATGTCATGGTGATATCAGAATCACCTGGTTTAAAGGATTTTAAACAAAGTCACAGTGTCCCAGCTGTCATGAGACAGTCTCTGTTAGCAGGTGTTGTCCCAGCTTAATTGTTAATAGTGACACCTCCTTTCACTTTTGCAAGTGACTTTGTTTACATAATAAATGAGATGGTACCACTACTGGAGTAACCATTTGTGACCAAGCTGTTGAGCGGTCTCCTTTTTACCCTGTTGCAATTAAGTGAAAGACAAGAACATCAAGACTGAAGAATCAGAAAACTGCCGCGGACCAGCACAGTAGTGAACGATGAGGCCGTCTCAGGGTTGAGAGACTGCGCAGGGTGGTCAGGGAATCGGTGAAAGAAATGACAAACAGACACACTTCAAGAGAGTGAAAATCTGAGTGTAATTTTCTTTGAGTTGGTGACCAGTATATATATGTTTTTCTAAAGGCATAGGATAGGTTATTAGTGAACTAAACCAGTTGGCTCATAGGTTTAACTTATCATTGACAAGGCAGTGATTTATGTCCAGAGTTACATTTGGATCTAGGCACATTCCTAAGCAGTCAGGCCATTAGTTTTGTCTTTTGTTTTATATAATTTCATTTTCTCCTAGCTAACCACTAAATTCCTTAATCATTATTAATTATAACAGGTGCACTTATTTTTTTTATGTAATAACATTTTTTTCATTAAGGATCAAAGCTAAGGAATTTTAACATATAACAGAGCAATTATTGAACTAACAATTTTGTTGTTACGCAAGGTTTAGTGGTGTTTCATTTGGGTCATCCTTGTTACTCGATTTCATGTTTCTTTAATTTAGCAATCAATGACCTTTATAGAAGAGAAGGAAGAAGTTTTAGAAAGAGAGTGAAGGGATAAAGTTTGTAGGTCTGAGGAGACGAGATAAGGCTCCTTTTGGTCAGCATTCTTGTGGTGGCTCCTGGTGGTCGTTATCTTTTGATAGGCGTCTGTCTTATCTATGTCTTCAGGGAACTTTGTTGTACTCCCCTGCGAGCTGGTTCCTTGCCCAGCCAGACCTAGGGACCGTGGAGAAACCATTATCCCTAAAGGTCACTGCAGGGGGAGGTGCAGCAGAAAACCAGAGTGAAAAAAATTAAAGCTCACAGGACACCATGGCCAAGGGTGACAGCAAAGTCCCAAACTTCGCAAGAACAATGAGCAGTTTGGAGCTCATGTAAAGCACTCAATACATTTAACTCTTTTTGCTTTGACCAATAAAATCCATAACAATTTATACTTTACCAGAGTCAGAATCATTAATTAATTATTACCAAGGTCACATATTGTTAATACATGAGTAAGATTACCAATCAGAATTACAGTTTTAAAGATCAAGGTTTAATTTTATTAGCTATAGTGACAGTCTTAGAAGTCTTATAAGGTTTCATTGATACAAATAACTGTTACAAGAATAATTTTTGATGCAGAAAACCATCCCCAATTCTTGCAACTACAAAAGAAGAAGGAACATTATCTTCTTAGTTTGGTGAGACATCTTTCACCACCAAAGGAGATACTTTAATTTTTCTACTTAAAGTTCCATGAGGAAACACTGAGGGAAAAACAGATAGGCTTGTGAAGCTGAGAAGTTATCACAGGAAAGAGCAAAGTGGGATTATGAACTCAAAACAGATTGAAGACTTGAGCTCAAGATCTGGAACCATAAAATTCCTCAAAGAAAACAGGCAATAACCTTCCTGACATCGGTCTTGGGCAATGATTTTCTTTTTAATTTAACTATAAAAGTAGAGGCAATAAAAGTAAAAATGAACAAGTAGAACTGTATCAAACTAAAAAGCTTTTGTACAGCAAAGGAAACAGTTTATAACAAGAACTTTGTTGCCACTTTGCAGCCAGAAATGCCATGAGGGACACAACAGTCTGGAGGTTTGTAACGCAAGACTCTGCTACTTGAGAGAGCAGAGTCTTGTGTCATTTATTGAAAACACACAGGCTAGTAAAAGCTGACAAAGGAATAAAGTCTGGAGAGTGAGATTGAAATGGGGGACAAAGTTTTATGAGGAACAGAGAAGGGGACATTGTGACCATCTATCAAGAGACATTGCATTAGCAAAGTATTTGATGTTATCACAGGCAGAGTTATCCCGAGACCACCATGGAGATAGTTACATAATCAGGTCAACGGTGGCTTACGTGTCTCTGGGCCTGGGTCATGTTCAGACTATTGTCCGTAGAGAGTCAAGGAATGCTCTGCTGTGATTTGTAGATAACAAATAGGTCACAGTTGCCCATGAATGGCCAGCTCATAGGAACCCTAAGGAAACCATCAGCAAAATAAAAAAATAACCCCCTGAATGGGAGTAAATATTTGCAAATCATGTATTTGAAAAGGGGGTTAATATGCAAACATGTACTTTTTTAAAGATTTACTTATGTTACAGGAACTGGGGTACAGGCCAGAGGTACAGGAGGTGAGAGGATTCACCAGAGACAGAGCAAGGAACAGAGCAGGCAGATAGACTGAAGTACACTGCTGAGGGGAGCAGCGGGTGAGTCAGGAGAGGTCTGCTGCACCATGTGGGTAGCTTCCTGGCCGGGGATTGAACTCAGGCTACAGAGGCTGTGGATAGCTTTACAGCGCTGCGCTCAACCCCTTGTGCCACCAGGGAGGCCCAAATACGTATTTTTTTAAAAACTCATACAATAGCAAAAAATCTGATACTTTAAAATGGGCAGAGAACCTGATTAGATGTCTTTTTCAACTAGACATACAGGAAGGAATCATACTCTTAGTGTTAAAGAACTTTAACAGAATTAGTGTGCAGAGAGAGAGGGGGAAGAGACTTAAGGATATTCATAGTAGTAGTTTTCCAACAAAACTCTCAAAATTACCCATCCCCTATTGGGCAAATGCCCAGCCAAACAGGGTTGACCTGAAGTGGGGTCACCAAGACCCAAAAAAAATTGCCATAAGTCTACTAAGTACCTTCTGGCCGGGCACATCAATAAAGGGGTAAGGCAAGTCCCAGAAAGTTGGGACAAAAGGAGAAAAAGAAAATGCAAAAACCAAAGTAACAAGGGCCATTGTCTCTGGAAACGCCTAGGAGCAGAGAACT